GAAACTATAAAACTCCTAGAGGAGAACATAGGCAAAACACTCTCCGACATAAATCACAGCAGGATCCTCTATGACCCACCTCCCAGAATATTGGAAATAAAAGCAAAAATAAACAAATGGGACCTAATTAAACTTAAAAGCTTTTGCACAACAAAGGAAACTATAAGCAGGATGAAAAGACAGCCTTCAGAATGGGAGAAAATAATAGCAAATGAAGAAACAGACAAAGGATTAATATCCTTTATACTTTAATAAAACTTTATTGCACAAAAGTTTCAAGTGGTCAAGCCTCATCTCTGACCCCAGATTGAAATCCTCTCCTCTGGAGGTCACGAATCCCGGCGTCGCTCATGGCTCGCAGCTGCAACCTTTCAGCAGGAAACCTCCTGACCAGGCTGACTTGTGGGTGACTGCAGGGGGATGACCGCAGGGGAAATAAGTTAACACATCCCCTCTGGAAGCTGATAGGAACCTGGAGGCGTTTGACTTTACTCCCTCCCCTTTCAGTATAAAAGAAGCCAGAATTCTAATTCAGGCAAGACAGTTCTTTGGGACATGAGTCCACCATCTTCTTGGTCCACCCACTATCCAAATAAAGTTGCTATTCCTCGCCCCGACAACTCATCTCTCAATTTATGGGCCTGTCAAGAGGCAAGCAGCACAAGCTTGGACTCAGTAACACTAGCTCTGCTTGTTTTGTGAGCACATGACTCAATAAATTAGTCTCCTCCACTGATAAAATATGAATCTGGATGGTACTGATGCTAACCATTTATAGGATTGCTGCAAAGCATACACGAAATACTACATTGGAAGTACTCCTCAAATTGCATGGAGAAGACAAATGAGGTGTTTTACACCTAACAGACAGCAAGAGATGAGACAAACACAGGTTCTGGCTTCAGACAGATGTGGATTCAGGTACATCTCCAGCCCTTTGAGGAGTTCAGGATTTTGGGGTCCTGAGCCACTTGTCTTCTTGGAGGGCCTTTAAATAAACCTTTCTCTGCTCCAAGCTTGGTTTTGGTTTGTTTGGCCTCACTGTACATTGGGCACGCAGACTTGCACTCAGTAACACTTATGCTGAGTGAAATAAGGCAAACATTTGTATGATTCTATTTAATGAGGCACTTAGGGTCAAATGCATAGAGACAGAAAGTAGAATAGTGGCTGTCAGGGGTTGAGGAGAGAGGACATGGGGAGTTAGCATTTAATAAGTACAGAGTTCCAGCTTGCAAAACGGAAAGATGTCTGGAGATGTATGGTGGGGATGACTGCACAACATGAATGCACTTAACACCATTGAGTTGAATGTTTTAAAATGGTGACGATATAAAGTTGATTTTATATTTTACCACAATTAAAAATTAGAAAGAAAAGGGTGAAGGAAAAGGCCCCCTACTCCTATTTTTAGATTCTAAAAATAGAAACACTTGCTATACATACATGATTGTCTGTGTGTGTGTGTTTTTTTCAAAATCCGTCCTCAGAAAAGAGTATTTCTAATTTTGAATCTTCCAAAGTTTTTACAAAGTTTCTCATATTTGGAAGACTCTCTCCATTACTTAACTTTGAACAGCATTGTATTGACACACAGTCAGAGATAATTTGAGATATTCATGGGATGTTTATGGAGGTCACCCATCAGATTAGTTTAAAAATGAGAAAAAAAGGGTGTGGTAATGAAATCTAACAGAGATTATTATGATTTAAAATGTTAGCTACCATAAACAGTGACACTAAGTGGTAAAGAACCTGCCTGCAAATGCAGGAGACATAAGAGACAAGAGTTTAACCCCTGGGTTGGGAAGATCCCCTGGAGGAGGGCATGGTAACCCACTCCAGTATTCTTGCCTGGAGAATCCCCATGGACAGAGGAGCCTGGCGGGCTACAGTCCACAGGGTCACAAGTAGTTAAACATGACTGAAGCACCTTAGCACACACCTTGAAATAAGACTTCTAACAGTCACTTTTACAAACAATCAATTTGTTTTATAGTGGAAACCATAAAAATATTCTTGGAAGAAAAGTGAGGCAAAGGGTTTTTGAAGCTGAACGCAAAATTTGCAAGGACAGTCTTCAAAAACAGACTTAAAACTGAACACAATATACTCTAGAAAGCCAGGTGAGATGCTTCCATGAAGTGGCTTCAATAACACTAAAGTAACTGACATAGAAACTATATGGGAAGAATTTTTAATAAAATGGCTTGATAAAACATGAGAAAGAGAAAAAAAATAATTTCTAATTTAGTATACTTTTCACATAATGAAAGACTTTAAAATGTTTGTGAGTAACTAAGTTAAATATTATAAGTAGACATTGGTCTCATTCACCTACATCTCTACAAATTCATATTTTCTAACTGGGCAAAACAATTTTAGAATGTTCTCATGAGAAAATAGCGACTTGCCTGGTGGCTCAGATGGAAAAGCGTCTGCATACAATGCGGGAGAAAATAGGAATTGTCTTAAAATGGGCATATATGTTAAATTTTTTTGAGAAGAAAATTCAGGCTTACTGAGTTCCTCATTCAGAATTTAGTTCTATCCTGTTTTAAAATTGGTGTTCTATTGCTCACAGCAGTTGCTTTATTAAAGCTAACAATTATAGTCATGACTTAATGGAAAGAATTACATCACTAAGAGCTTTTCAAATGTTGGACTGGTGCAAGTTATTACATGAGAAATGGAATTAGAAGAAGAAAAGTATCTTTATGTTGCACATGAAAGGAAGAAAAGTATATACAATGTATAGTGTGGTATCTATGGCAGGTGGGAAGCTCTCAACGAATGTTACCTGCTTTTGTTACTATGGAAGTAACGTAACTATTTTTTGTGACTTTAGAGAATCTGACTAATTTGACATAAACAAAGACTTGATCTGTGCCTAGTAAACCACCATCTCATTATAGGTTGTTCAGTTGCTCAGTCGTATCCAACTCTTTGCTACCACGAGGACTGCACCACACCAGGCTTCCCTGTCTTTCAGTCTTCTGGAGTTGCTCAAACTCATGTCCGTCGAGTTG